CACAGCTTCTCTTCTGTGACACAATTACTATTTTTAGATCTATTTGTGTGTCTGTGTGATATGGAGATCAGGACAAGCTGCCCAGCATGCCAAAACACAACCTGAAGAAGCCACATGGAGGCGCTAGAGAGATGGCAGCCCAGTGGTTAGCCTCCCTTGCTGTTCTTGCAGACTTCCCAGCACCCTCAAGGTGGATCTCAAGCGTAAGTCCAGTTCCAAGCCATTCATCACTCTCTTCTGACCTCTGCATGTACCAGGCACATCTGTGTAGTGCACATACATTCACTGATGCAAGCAAACACTCATACACATAAAAGTAAATATGTTTTAAAGAAAGAAGCCACAAGGAAAGAGACATGCGTGGATAAGTCAAATTCTACTCCACAACAAGCCTTCAAAAATTTCCCAGCCTGTCAAGAACATAAAAAAGAGATTGAAGAACTAGTTCATATTTAGATGGCAATTAAGTGTGACAGGGGGATGTAAATATTGAACAGAAAAAAATGCCCATAAGGGATGTTTCGGGATGAGTGGTAAACCTTGAGTATTAACTGTAGATCACTTATATGTTAATGCCTGATTCCACTGTGTTGAAGTGCCCAAAGGGGAGACCCACTCCCTCAGGTTGTCCTGATACATACACATCAAATAGGAATGTAAAAATTAAGTTACTAAAATAAAAAAAAGTAAAAAAAACAAAACAAAACTAGCCAGAACCATTGAGTGGGAGACAGTGTGTCTTTTCATACCTGTTTGGTGCTTATTTGTAAGAGCAAGGACATTATCTTACACCACAGCAGGTGGTCCTAGGTGGTTTAGGAAAGCAGGCTAAGCAAGTTATGGAGAGCAAGCCAGAGCGCAGCACTCCCTGGCTCCCGCCTCCAGGTTGCTGCCTTGAGTGCCTGTCTTAACTTTCCTTCATGGTAGACTTTGGTCGGGACACGTAAGCTCCTCCCCAAATTGCTTGTGTTTTATCGCAGAAACAGAAAGCAAACTAGGATATCAGCCATACCAGTTCAGGAAGCATGTCTACATGGATATGCAAGGGTAGATTCCTAAATCCCTGAAGCTGTCGTCAACGTGATTCTAGGTGAAGCAATGTGCCCCGGGGTTAAGCGAGGTGGTTCTCGGTGAAGCATATCCCAGTTCTTCAGCCAATCTAGCCAGCTTCCCATAAGCCGTCTACATAAACATATATGATGTCCTTTCAATACATAACTTACAAAAGTTACTACAGATGACAAGTTAATTAAAAATTAACTACCTATATTTCAAATAAATGTATAGCCCACTGTTATCAGTATAAATAGCCTATTCTTCAGGTGGTCTTAGGCAAGTTAGAAACAAAGGTTAGGACAGCGACAGAGATGGAACCAGTGGATTCAGTAGCCCCAATTATTGTTTTTATATCTATTTGGTATGGGGCTGAGGGGTGTGTGTGTGTACAACCTGAGGGAGTTGGTCTCTCCTTTGGACACTGCAGCACAGTGGAATCAGACATTAATGTATAAACGATCTACAGTTAACACTCAAGTTTTACCACTTCAATTCTGTCCTTAATTCCGGTAACTTAATTCTTCTTTTATTTGAATAAAACATTTTAGCTTTCCTTAAACTTGTATAGAATACTAAGGTAGAAACATAAGCCTTACATTCCAAAACATTTTTTATATTTACTAATTTGTCTGAGGGATAGGGAGCGCATATGTGGACAACTTTCAGGACTGAGTTCGCTCCTTCTACCGAGATCGAGGTATCAACCACAAGTTGTCTGTCAGGCATCACGCAAGCATCTTTACTCAGTGATTCATTTCACCAGCCCGTAAATTTCATATTCTTCCCCAAGTGAGGTCCAAGACTAGTTAATGGACAGGGCTAATTTCTGTTAGCCTAGAGAACTTTCTTGTGTGTAAATTTTCCTAATATGCTTAGTTTCCTGCATTCTTAGGAAATCGGATTTATATCTCCAGGATCTCAAATACACAATTTGTGTGTTTCTGCCACATCAAATGAGTCTGTCCTTTAAAATGTTTTCGGCAAATCCTTGCCCACTATCACCCACCCTCTCTCTCCAACAACTCTTTGATCACTGTTTTCTATCCACTCTGGAATAATCCAGGGGTAATTAGAATTTCTTACCTCTTCTGCCCAAAAGGAGACAATTTATCACAAACTGTCAGGGATCCCAATTTTAAATTACCAGGAGCCCAGTAAGAGAGCTGAGGAATCTTCTTTCCAATTAAAGTGATTGATTTCTTAGCAACTGAGTAGCATGGCACTTTTTAATAATGTTCATTCCAATCAAATGTGAGAAACTTCATTTTATTTTCCTTCCCAGGAACAGGATACAACAAACATTAATCCCAGTGGTGTGAGGCCAGACCCTGCGGTGCCTGTAGCAGAAGTGGCCATGTCATCTGTCAGTGGTGCTTGTCTGTTGAAATTGTCTCAGTGGCTGTTTCAGCACTAAAGAAGAAAAATCACACAGATAGCTCACCCAAGAGCATGCCAAGCCTTCCAGCCCCAGGGGCCACAGCCATGACAAGATTCTGGTTATGTTCCCAATGGACAGGAACCCAGCAGGGAGATGAGAAGTTGGGAACAGACCTCAGTTCTCTCTTGTGCAAAGGTATTGAGGACAAAGCAGTGAGTAGAGCATACAGGTATAAGAAAGTATGAGGAAGCCGGGCATTGGTGGCGCATGCCTTTAATCCCAGCACTCAGAGGCAGAAGCAGGCGGATCTCTGAGTTCGAGGCTAGCCTGGTCTATTGAGCAAGTTCCAGCACAGCCTCTAAAACAATACAGAGAAACCCTGTCTCGAAAAACCAAAAAAAAAAAAAAAAAGAAAAAGAAAGTTTGAGGTCACCATCACTCCAACTGAAGTAGATGAATCAGGCATAACTCGGCACATAGAGGATGTGCACTTTGGTTTTTATTTTTTTCCTATAGATTTACTTATTTTCATTTTATGTTGCATTAGTGTCTTTCCTGCATGTATGTCTGTGTGAGGGTGTTGGATCCCCTGGAACTCGAGTTACACAGTTGTGAGCTGCCATGTGGGTGCTGGGACTTGGACCCAGGTCCTCTGGAAAAGCTGTCAGTCCTCTTAACTGGCTGAGCCATCTCTCCGGCCCTGGGTTTTATTTTAACTCAGGCAGTAATTGTGTCTTTTCCTCATTGGCTGGGATTGAACCTTATTCAATCTTATTCAGTTGGCTAGTCTATAAAGAATCAGAGTACACAAAGGGAAGGGGGAGGGGCCAGCTACTTTAAGCAGAGATGTAGCTGGGCTTTTGTGTAAACAAAGGTTTTACTGGGTGGCAGTGGGGAATTGAAACATTTGCATAAAAGTCTTATGAGGTGGGGGACATGAAAAGGTTTAATTCCTTGTCATCACAGGTTTTATAGATTTGATAGAAAAGACTCATCCAATGCTGATTAAACAGAATACACAAAGGTTTTTCCCCACTGATATGCTATCAGGACATGCTATGTGTCATAAAGAACTTTGAAAGAGAAAAAAAACTTCAGAGACAGTTTAGAAGATGCCAAAAAACGTGAATCAGTCCTTCACCCAGCCTCATGGGGCCCCAAAGTCTCTGCTGTTGCCTTGTTCCTAACCTTCAGTGACAGGCCAGCAGCCTCCTGTCCCAAAGTCTCCAGAGCCCCTGCATCCCCAGCATGTCCTCCTTCCACCCTCCATGTGATCAGCAGACTGGCATCAGCTCATCTCTTGTGGCACACGAAGGTCACATTTTATGCTCTGGTTACTTTCTAAGATCTGTGCTCCAAAGTCTACCATGGCCAGACAACTGGCTCCCTCCAAAAGCTTTCAAATAGTAAAGATAATTCTAGAAACCTCCTGGAGTCTTAGATTTCCCCACTCAATCATAGGATCCTAGTCAAACCATTGGTAGAAAATGAGTTGCATTGTACACTAAACTTTTGATACTTTATAAAATCCATGTGCTGAGACTGCATTGTGCTTTACTGCCCCAAGATGTTTGCAATACTACAAAACTGTGGCACTATGCTCTGCGTTCATTAAGCAGTCTGAACATCTACCTGCAAGACAGAGAAGCAGCCACCTCAGCATCATACAGAGGATAGATAAAATGGCCACCTCCATGACAACAAAGAAAATAACAGAAGAGGCAGCAGATGCCATGAAGAAAGTCTGGTGATATTGAGTTGGGCAGGAACTCTAAGATTAGCAAGGCATGGCTAAAGTCATAACAGAAAGGCTTGAAGAGTCATTAGCACAGGGGACAGGAAGCCAGGCAGATGCTAGGAAGCTCTGACTGCCACACTACAAAGGCTTGAACATTCATGCATACACACACAGAGCAGAAAGTCAGTCCAAGTGGTGTGCTGGGAGGAGCAGATGGGCCAGAGACAGGTGCCAAAATAATCCAAGGGTGGTCACAGCAGGACTGGCTGTGACACGAAGGTTGGAGTGGAGACCATGGGGATTCACAAACACAAGGGAAAGGGGGAGTTTGCTCTGAGCACTGTTGTTTGTGGACCCACAGTTGATTCCAATCTTGACATTTACAGACTACAGTGAGGGTTTGTCACACCCCGAAACAAGACCTCGTTTTCAATACAAGCATCCCGCAATGCTGGGTATTATCTCCATCCTTTCACAAATGAGGTGAAGCCTGACCAGGAGAACCAATTAATCAGTGTCTTCTCCTTGTGCAATCAAATGAAACAGGAAGAGCTCAAACTCTCCTGCTGGCTTTTTTTCTGGACTAACAGAGGCAGAGTTCACAGAAGTACACACTGGGAGCGGTGCTGGAAGGGAATCTGCTGACCGTGGCTGTTCCAAAAAGAAAAGGTAAGCAACCACACGGAGTTGCCCAAGAACTAAGCCTGACACCTTTGTGTGGACTAAGCTCTCTATGACAGGCTACTCTCTAGGACAGGCTACTCTTTGACCCTGGGCTGCCTGTCAGAATGCCTACAAGGGCAAGCAGAAGAATTCACAGGCAATGGGTTAGATGCTTTAGGACTTTAATGTTCTTCACACAGTCAACAGAAAACACTAACAACATAGAACAATGGAAAAAGACCTATCTTTCTTATGAAGCCGCTTTAGAAGGGAGTGTGGGAGGGTGCAACTGTCCACAGCAGAGGACAGTCATGCACAAAGTCATGGGTTGAACAATCTCTAAAAGCGTCTACAGAACTGTTTTATTAGAAATATAAAGGCATAGATATAAACCGTATGGTGTTAAAAACATACCCAGTATATAAGCACTAGTATCGCGTGTCACTTTTATCTTTTTATGAGAACAGCAGTATACAGATCCAAAATGTTTAAGAGTCACCGTTGACTTTAACCAATAGCTGTAGAACCCAGCAAACTCACTATTGTCAGATCCAAAAATAACTAATTGGAACCAGCAGAACAAAGTCCAAGGCTAGTACTGCAATCCACCTAAAGAAAGGAGCAGAAAGATGCCGGGCTGGATTCGTTAGGAAAGTTTTGAAACTGCTTCCAGGTCAAGTCAGAATGAAGGTGGCCATTAGCTGATAGTTTCATAGCCCTGCAGAGCCCCGGATGTTTAGTCGATAAAGAAACTGTAATAAGCATGTGTTTGGGGGGAAAAAATCCATGTCTGTTAAATTTTTGTAACCAATCCAAAGTTACTCTGAACTCTGCATGTTGCTCACAGGGAGAGCATAGCTAGTCATGTTCACAGTTGATGCATCTCCAAAAAATTCTTCATAAAGGCAGCCAGCTTCTCAACATCTTCAGTTGTGACAGCGTTATACAGAGAAGCACGGATGCCTCCCACTGACCTAGAACAACAGAGACCCAACCATGAATACCAAGAAAATCAGGAGGACACGGCATATTATCCATGTTAAAGCCTTTGCCTATCATACATAAGGCTCAGGCCTGAACCTCCATGACACAGGAAAAAAGTGAAATTTAAAAGTCATCTATTTCAGCACAACACAACTTTCACTAACCACCCCTCCTAAGAGTTGCAATTGAGTCCAGAGCGCTCAACTTCCCGCCTGCAAACCATCCCCAATCTGTAGCATGAGGCTTCTGAGTCATTACAGAAATTCCTTGTGCAGTGAAGGTCATCCACCATGCTTGTACTGTGTTACCTCAAACTAGTCACATTTTTAAGTAATTATTAACAGTATTTGTACAAATTAATGGGTTTCACTCTGATATTTCCATACTTGCCTACATAAGACTTTAACCATACCCAAACTATCACCTTTAATAAAAGAGGAAAACTAAATGAGGGAGGAAAAAGTCAATTGAAGAGGGTGACTGTGGGTTTGGGGCCATACCACTCACTAGGTTTTGCAACAGTTCCGGCCAGACAGAACGAGTGCTCTGCTGCTGCTCTTGTGTGAGGACATTTATTGTTCAGGGTATCTGATGTGCCGCTGAGCCCAGTAATGGTCTAACACCGGAGTGGAGTAGGCAGGCCCTACCAGAGGCACTTTCAGAGCTGACTCAACCCTACGCAAGATGTGCTGCAGCCCAGCCAGAAGTGGGTTTATTCCCCAGAAAGTCTGTCACCTCTACTCCGGGTTGTGCAAGGTCCTGACTTTGTTTCATTCTGCCTCTGACATGCCTGGGGATGAGGTGTGCTTACCTGTGTCCCTTCAAGGAGATCATGTTGAGTTCCACCGCCTTGTCAAGAAAGCGCTTTTCTAAAGCTTCGTCTCCTTTGGCATTGCCAATGCGAAATGGAATATTCATCCTGCTTCTGTTCTGGCGTTCCACTGGACACCTGAAAATCATGTTTATTAGTCCAGCTATGTTTCTAGCAGGTGTAATGTCGTAAATACATCTACAGATTTCTAAACAGTATCAGGGCTGGGACTGGCATTCAGTTGACAGAGTACTCATCATGTAGAATGTTCTAGGTTTTGGAGGCATAAGCCTATATCACAGCAATCAGGAAGTAGAGCCATGAGGATCAGTGGTCAGGGTCATTCGTAGCCACATAGTGATTTCAAGGCCAGATTTTGAGTCCCTGTCTCCAAAATAACAAATGGATGGGTTAAAAAAACTATAACAAGAAGTAAAAAAAAAATTCCCAGGGGGAAAAAGCCTCACTCATGCAGGTTAGCATTCGCTTGTATGACTTCTATCTAATTTCTGTCAGGCTCAGCCCTTCACTTGAATATTAGGAACAGTAATATCTGTTTCACACAATCTGTGACAATTCAGTGGGCCATTTACATGGCATCTAACATGTGTCAGAAGTGTACAGTTCTTTCTGCGAGGCTGCAGACAAGCTTGGGCCTACCGGTGGCTGAAGACTTAAAAGACTCACAGATCTGGACTTGCAGCTCATGTCCCCAAATTATCCACCCCTTCATAAAAGGAAAACATAACACAAACCAATCATGTCATAAAAGCTCAAAACTGAAGATTAAATCTCAGGAAACAAGTACATCACCCATAAAAGAAAGATCCTCACATATGAAAGAGAAGGGGGGGAGGTCAGTTGCTTCCAACTGAGGGAAAGATGGCAGGTGGAAATTATACTGCCAAGAGAAGAGGGCTGTGGAGACAGAGTTCCAAACAGGTACTCTTTCTGAGAGGTGTCAAGGAGGAGACGTGTAGAAGGAGGGAATGGAGAACAGAGGAGGAAGAGGGAAAGGGGAGGACTGCATGTATGGAGAAAGTGGCTGCCACACTCTGGCTCAGTCAGCATGTTGGGCTCCTGGCAGGGGAGGCTGGAGGCACATGGGCCTGGTCCATGGAGAGCCTGCTGACATCCTCCTGGCATTTGACTGGATCCCTGAATGATGAGGGCTAGTGAGTTTGCCCAGTAACAGATTTGTGTTTCAAAAAAAAAAAAAAAAAAAAAAAGCAATGGGGGATGGGGAGATGGCTCAGTCAGCCAACTGCTTGCTATACAAGCACAAAGACTTGAATTCAGATCCCTAGAACCCATGGAAAGCCAGGCTTGATGGTACACCTCTATAATCATAGCTTGTGGCGAGATGGCTGCTGCAAGAGCTCCCACAAACAGACACAAGCATTTTAGGGGAAAGGAGATGGCAACATGTTTTATTAGCCTAGTAATCCAAGAATGCATCTATACCCTTTCACCCATACAAAATCAGCAAGTCTTGGCTAAAAGTCACAACTTTAAGTTAGGATTGCAGCATTACTCTTTTCTATTTCGTGTCGTCCACAAACTACTCAAAGGGAGTGCAAGTTACTGTTAGGCAGATACTTTGTCATGAAAGTATAATAACTAGATAAAAAGTCAACCCTGCCATAGCTCATTCAGATTGCAGACTAAGGATGGGAACACCTGCCCTAGAAGAAAGGAAGAAGTGAACTTTGGTAAAAGGGGAAGGAGGATTAGGGAGATGGTTAAGTGGGCAAACTGTTTATAGTGTATGAGGACCTGAGTTCAAAGTCCCAGAGCCCTCATAAAGTCTGATGGGGTAGAATTTAATCACAGAATGAATTTGCAATCCCACGGCTTCTAAAGTAAGATGGGAGGAGAACCCTGAAGTTCAAGGGACTATTAACCTGGCAGATGAAACTATGAAAAACAAAAGAACCCTGTTTCAAACAAGATGGAATGTGAGGACTGACAAGATGCTGCCCCTGACCTATACAAGCAAAATACCCACACATGCCTACACAGAAGCCCATGGGGGGTGGGGGGCATCAGGAGTTGGGATTTACAGCAACTGTTCCTGCAACTGTTTTCCAGGGCCACAAGGGAGGAGAGAGTGGGGGGGGGTCCTACCCCAGACAGCAAGGCATACTTACCCAGGTCAGAGTACTGAGTGATATGACCCAAAAGATTTCCCGAGAGCAAAGAATTTCCCTACCTCCCACCCCAGCTCATGAGGCATGGGAGCTACCATCACTCACCAGTATGCTAGTGTCCTGGGAAAAGGTAAGTTTCAAAGAATAAAGTGTCTAATTCACAAGAGATACAGTGCATTGACTTACACATAAAATCCTTGAGAATTATCAATAATCTTGTAAATCATTTGGGATTTGATGGAGCTGAGCTTCTCCATGGCTGTGGCTCCACCATTGTTCTTGATCCACTCCAGGACCATGCCCATGACGTAGACGCTAAACCAGGGATAAAATAAACAGCATTAAGTTCACCTCTGCAGAAGTCAAAAGGACACGTAAGCAAACTGGTAACGGAAGTCACACTAACAGTTTTAGCATCATTACAAATGGATAAAAGCAGGCCACTTGAGCACGCCAAGGACTAGGCCAACACACACAGCATTCTAAAGACTAAAGAGGCAATAGAGTGCACCTTAGTAATGCCAAACCAGTCCCCCTAGGCCCTGCTGCAAGTGCTCCATGACACCCAGACCACACATCCCAGTTCTTTAGACCAGTAGTTTTCAACCTGTGGGTTATGACCCCTGGAGTGCTGAATGAACCTGTCACTGGGGTTGCCTAAAGCCATCCATCCCAAGTCGCTTCTAAAAGCCAAGATTCTATCCTAGTGTCTGCCTGACTTCAAAGTCAAAGTACTTTCCCCTAGTACCTGTTTTGTCTGAGACTATAGGCCTCAATCTACCTGTGGGACAGAAGAACTGCCACCAAGCCTGTCACAACGGCCCCCTGTGCATGTGTGTCACGTATGTATGTGCCCCTGTGTGGCTAAAGATGCTCTCAAAATCTATGTAACCACAAACTGCTCCTCCGCAAATCTACAGTCTCCTCACCCATGAACCACAGAAACATCCCACCAAACTACCAGAGCCAAGCAGGAAATACTTTCAGGAAACCATAGTCACTTTCACCTGATGCTCCGGTATCCCTGTATTTCAAAACTGCGGATTCTCTAAAACCCAAAGCAACAAGGGCCTCTGTCTCACAGCCAAACCTCAGGACCAAGAGTGGAGCCTGTGTGAGGCTTGCTACTCATACTCTCTGGCTGTCTTCTTAGGATCTGAGCAGACAAAGGGGGCAGAAATTCAATACACTACTACAGACCACCACCAGCAGCCCCTTACTCTAGGTCTCCAATGCCTCAGCAGGCAGCAGGCGGATCTGAAGAAGGCAGGCTGCCTGGAAAGTGGAGAGGAAAACTCTGCTCGCTTTCCCACCCAGCTCCCGGGTATACACTGTAGGCCCCTGGGACTGCTTCTCACAAGGTCTTCTGGCCTCCCACCTTCTTACTGACTCATACCTCTGCCTCTAAAGCCAAAACTTACTAACCATCAGAGCCTTAGAAGGCTATGTGGATTCACAACTCGTGCTCAATTCTTCCCACCATTAGTGTACACTTTTAGTGACCGATGTCTTTGGTTCTAAACTGGCTACCTACAAACACACCAGACAGGCTTACCTGTCTGAACTGATTAAACCACAGAAAGCCTGTTGTATGGAATAGCGTGAAAGGGGGCAGGCATTTAACCTAACATGATAGAATGCCCACAGTACATGGCTGGGTTGAAAGGGGGATTTACACATGTCTGAACAGCACTGTTCACAGTTCACTGACAAAAATAAATACATGACAGTACACAGCTGACTCTCCTCCCCCAAATTCATGAGTTTGGCAACCACAGATTCAGCCAACTTTGTACAGACAACATTTCAAAATCAGTGTTTGGAATGAGTATAAACAAATCTTTTCCTGGTCATTACTTCTTACTCAATATAATACATAAATTATTTAGTGCATTTACAATTTATTAGATATTATAAGTAATGTAGAAATGACTTTAAAGCATGCAGGAGAATGTGTATAGCTATATTTTGGGACTCCTTGGGGGTCCTGGAATCAGTCTTGGATGATTAATGAGGGGTGAGTGGATAGGCAGGCACAGTGTTTCCGTGGTAACAGTTCACTTGAGGAAACTTTTGCTAAGAGCAGGTGCTATTTTTATATTTTTAAAACAATATAAATTATACCCTGTGTGTCAGAATTTTAAAAAGGTTACCAAAAGTCTCCAGGTGCAGAGGAGCTCCTGGGCTGGGGATCAGGTGGCGTGACTGTTTTGAAGCTTATAAAAACCTCCATGCAGCTGGCCCTCCCTGAGGTCAACTCCCCTACACCCTGAGGGTTCTGGCTTCTTCCCTCCTCTCAAGGGCCTCTGCACAGGCCACATGCTACCACTGCAATTTCTAAGTCGCCAAAGACGACCTTAAATTCTAGATTCTTCTGTCTCGTAAGTCCTGAGAGTACAGGAATGTCACCATGCCTATATCTTATATTTTCACCAAGTGAAATAAGACAATTGGATAAAAGATATATTATTTCCTCACACTGGAGATAAGAAACAATCTATACTTAGCAGCTCAATATGCATAAATAGGAAGTATTTTATGAAGTTACAAGGGTTGTTAAATATCTTCTCCTCTACCTACTAGAAGTGTTGACTGTTAGTAATGGCTTAAAAAGAATGTCATCACAGCCACTTATTATTCCAGCCCAATTACTACCTAAGGCTACTAAGCAACCAGTCATGGCCCAGTTTATCCAGAACAGTCAACAATTCTCAGAGCCCATAATCTTTTGGCTCTGACCAAAAAAACAAAAGGACATCATCAGGACATGCCTACATCCTTGTCTGTCTACCTCCCAGAGTGGAGGGTTCTGCCTGCCTCTCCTGCCCTGCACACATTGTTATGAGATGGCTCTCAGTGGGCCATTTCTAACCTTGAATGTTAAAGTACTACAGTGAACTTTGAGTACTTCAGGTCACACAGAAGTACAGAGTTTTCTTTTTTCTTTTTTTTTGCTTTTTCAAGATGGTTTCTCTGTATTGTTTTGGAGGCTGTCCTGGAACTCACTCTGCAGACCAGGCTGGCCTCAAACTCAGAGATCCACCTGCCTCTGCCTCCCGAGTGCTGGGAATAAAGGAGTGTTGCCACCAACACCCTGCTCAGAGTTTTCTTCTTTCATCTCATCAACAAAGAAGAGAGACCAGGGGGACAGGGTAGGGGTGGGGGGAGTTGGGTTGGGAGCCCCTACCTTTCACCTTCTATGCATTTGCTCAGTTTCAATCTAAGAATTCGTCACTCTGATTTGCTCTGAGAGACTATTCCAATCTAAGGAAGAAACTGCCCCTTTTCTGCTGTTTCAGCCTCAGGCAGGGAAGTCCTAGAGAGGGGGTTTCCATGCCAGGGAACAGCTAAAGGGGGTGGGGTGGGACATCAAGGCCAGCTGAGGGTTAGGGAGGAGGCTGGAATGTGGACTTTCTAGTGTCCAGCCTTTTCCACTTTCCACAAGGCATCTGGCCTGTTCTCCCACTGTCCCTAAGGGGTGTTCAGTGAACATGCTCATCACATTTCTTTAAAGCCACCAGAAAAGATGCCCAAGGGGATACTGCTCACCCAGGCTCTTCAGTTGACCTCTGGGCACATCTCCAGGACAGTCTTCATTCCATCTCCTCCTACCTTCTCACATTATTTAGCTTTTGAGACAGAGTCTCAGTCTGCAGTCCAGTCTCAATCTTGCTGACTCCACCTCCTAGTCCTGCGATTGTAGGTGACAACCTTCCCTCTTCTAAAGCCTCCCCTGAAAGACTGAGCTGTAAGGCAGGTATGTGGCCCCAACCTTCTAACCCCTTGCCCCACACAGCCTGGAACCTCAACCGCTCCTCTAGGAACCCTGCCCATGGGGTCCCCAGTGGTACCTTCACCACCCTTGTCTTCAGCTTTTCCTTCCTGACTAGTATCCACTGGTATTTCCCCACTCCCTGGAACCCCCAGAAATAAGCAGGATAGAACTGAGCCCCATGCTACCCCTGGGCCAACATGCATCTTAGGAACATCTTTAGTCCAGGTCCAGGAGTAAGGGTTAGGGGTGACCAGAAGGGTTAACCACAGAACATTCTACTCCTAAGGAAAGTGAGGGACACCAGAGACTGTTCTGTATCATGTGAGTAACAGAAACACAGGGGAAGCTGGGCAGTGGTGGTACACACCTTCAATCCCAGCATTCAAAACAAGGCAGAGGCAGGCAGATCTCTGTGAGTTCAAGGCCAGCCTAGTCTACAGAGCAAGAGCAAGTTCCAAGACAGGCTCCAAAGTTACACAGAGAAACCCTGTCTTGAAGAAAAGAAAAAGAAACATAGGGGAAACTTCCAACCAAATCTGAAGTCCAAACTCCTCCCTTTCTTGTATGTGGGAGGCATTTTCTGCAGGAGGGACGGACAGAAGAGAACTCTGGCAGCCCTTGCCCTAGCCTGACCCTGTCCATCTGGAAAGCCACCCTGTTTTTCTGAGACACAGGCCATGGCCCTTTATCTACAGAGAGCTTGTGGGTTAATGGTCAACAGTCGGCGCCTGGATTATCAAGATCAAGCAAAAACCAAGATTGTCATCCCCACAAAGCGGGTAACAGAAAAACTGACCGAACAGTACCTAGAGGCCAAGAGACAAAGAACGCTGAGTGTTTGAGGCTCTTGGGTTTGTGGCTGATGAAGTACGTTCTACTTTCCCTCCACTCTGATGGACGACTACAGCACCCAGAGTTACCTGAAACATGGAGGTGTGTTATACAAAGAGTTGTTCCCAGCCTGCACTTTGTAGTCAAGGACCGAAGGACACTCTCTGAGGGCGAAGCCCAGCAGGTCATCACGGACGATCACCACTGTCACCCCAGCAGAGCCAACATTCTTTTGAGCACCAGCAAAAATCACACCAAACTTAAAAAAGAAAGGAAGAAACATTGGCTACTTTAGAGGGAATCTGTGGCCATCCCTAAGTGATACAATCCTGATATCTAGCTCATCTCTCAGTGCTGAGACCCAAGACTGGGCCTTTGCCAGGAAGAAGTCTTCCACACCTAGCACTGTGAAGTCTTGGGACATCCATGCTCTCACAACCCTTGTTCTACTCCCAAAACAATCTTTAGGACAGGCCCTCTCAGGGCTGGAGAGATGGCTCAGCAGTTAACAGCACTTGTTGCTCTTACAGAGAGAGGACCTGGGTTTATTTCCCAACATCCACATTGTGACTTACAACCATCTGTAACTCCAGTTCCAGGGGATATAACACCTGATTCTGACCTCTGAGAGTCAATCACACACGGTATACATATATACATAAATTAAGGCAAAATACTAATACATATATAGTAAGAAATAAATCTTTAAAAATGTTTTAACTAAATGTCCAGGCTTCATGGTGCACATCTGTAATCCCAGCAGCTGGGAGATGGAAACAGAAGGATCAGGAGTTCAAGGTTGCCCTTGGCTTCATGGTGAGCTCAGAACTAGCCTGGTATGTAGGCCCTCTAGATTGAGGTATAGTTCACTAATATAGCATGCTTACCATGCATTAAGTCTGTGCCTCATACCAAACACTGAAAAATAACAAAAAGAAACTGGAGCCTCCAAATCTTTGGCAACCAAAATGAAATACTATCATTTAACTTAGGAGAGTTATTTGTACAACTACTAATATTTCATAATTTTAAATGACAAACTTTTAGTTACATATTTTTAATTAAATATTTAATTAAATGGTTAAAATATACATTTTAAAATCAATAGGCTGCAGAGATGGCTCTGTGGTTTAAAGCACTTGTTGCTTTTGCAGAGGTCCTGGGTTCAAGTCCCAGGATTCACATTGTATCTTACAACCATCTCTGACTCTAGTTTCAGGAGATCCAATACCCTCTTTTGACCTCTGCCAGCACCAGACACACATCTGGTACACATACATACATGCACATGGGCCAAACATCCATACATGTAAAATAAATTAATAAATCTAAAAAAATTAGGTCAAAGGTCATTAATACAAACTTCTACTTAGAGGCAGTCAGAAGCTGCCATGAATGGGGCTGCTGCAACACAGCCTGAGTGGGTGAGACACCTGAGGGAGAGTTTTAGAATACACCAATGGCTAATGGTTTTTGAGGGCATTTTGTTGTGCAAGACACAGGTTCTATATCGGCCCAAAAAATCAAGTAAGGGTGTACGGTTCACAACTGACATGGTTTGGAACGGCACAGAGGAGAGACAAGAGGGTTTCAAGTTCAAGGCCAGGTTGGGCTGAGCTATGCAGTGAGAGTTTTCTTTAAAAACACAAGGCGTGGCCATATACCAAATACCATAGATCTATATAATGGAATACTAATCTAAAACTGAAGTTCTGTTTTTATGTTTGTTTGGTTGTTGTTGTTGTTGTTGTTGTTTTTGAGGCAGGGTTTCTCTGTATTATTTTGGAGCCTGTCCTGGAACTCGCTCTATAGACCAGGCTAGCCTCAAACTCAGAGATCTGCTTGCCTCTGCCTCCTGAGTGCTGAGATTAAAGGCGTGCACCACCAATGCCGGGCAAAACTAAAGTTCTGATATATGCCACAGCATAAACCTTGAAGACATTAGTGAATTAAGCCAAGCACTAAAGAACAAATATCATGATCCCATTTACAGGAGGTCCCTTGAGTACAAATTCATAAAGTTGGATAGTCATTGGCAAAGACTGGGGATGTGGCAATTTAAAGGGTACAAACTTTAGTACAAAATCTGAAAATTCTTCAACAGATGTGAAGGCTGCACAGCAATGTTAACATGCTTAATGCCACTGAGCTGTACACCTAAAAGTGGTCAAAACTGGGTCAGTAAAGTGGTCCAGCAAGTAAACCACACGCACACCATGGCAAATGTGCATCCATTCACAGGCAGTAATAGGTAAATCATGTGTGTGTGTGTGTGTGTGTGTAGAGAGAGAGAGAGAGAGAGAGAGAGACATATGTATGTATACCCCACACACACACACATTAAAAAAACTATCAAATATAACAACAAAAACACAGGGTGTCACTGTATACCTTTTGCTGGCCTAGAACACAAAATGTAAACCAGGTTACCATTAAACTCAGAGATCCACCTGCCTTTGCCTCCGAGTGCTGGGATCAAAGGCGCATGCCTCCAAGCCCAGTTCGAGAGCCACTGTTAAAGGGAAGCAAGTTACTGGCATGTAGGCCATGAGCAATCATTACCACAGACACCTAGTGATGAAATCAGCAGCTGTCAGTCTGATCACTGGTGTCCACCCTGGCTTCGGGGGCTCTGCTAGCTCCAGACTCCCTTAGGTCTTTTCCAGGGGCATATACATCAAAACACTTCACATTCATTGGTTCCCTGACCCAACCTTTCATACTCTACCTTGGAAACGTCCACTGGCCTGGATAAGAAGTTGGAGGACATGTCACAGACCAGCACTGCTCCCTTGACATCAGGTATGAAGTCAAACTCCACCCCATGCACTGTCTCGTTTGCACAGAAGTACACATAGGAGGCGTCTGGGTTGAGGTTCCAGGTGCTTGGGTCTGGAATTTCTATGACAGAGAACAAATTTGAGGATCTGCATACTTCCTTCCTTTTCCATATATATATGACGTCACCCAGGAGATTGGTTAGTTTCCTGAGGGGATTATTGACTCCAAAGCACTTGGCAAGTACAAGCACCTACTCGTGCCGTCATCACCACTAACATCTGAAGATGACCCATCATACCTTTTGGATTTATTGGGTACAAATAACATTCAGATGCAGCACAGAGGAGCCAAGTACACATCTGTCATCCCGCACTCGGGAGGCTAAAGCAGGACTGCTCTGAGTTCAAGGCCAGCCTGTGCTACATCAAGACTACCAAGCTGGACTGGAGAGATGGCTAAGCCTTTAAAAGGTTAGGCTCACAACGAAAAATATGATTACCAGGTCATCCAAGGGTACACATAAAGACCATGTCTCAAAAAACCCAGACAAGCCGGGCGTTGGTGGCACACGCCTTTAATCCCAGCACTTGGGAGGCAGAGGCAGGCGGATATCTGTGAGTTCGAGACCAGCCTGGACTACCAAGCGAGTCCCAGGACAGCCTCCAAAAAGCCACAGAGAAACCCTGTCTCAAAAAAACCACAAAAAAAAAAAAACCAGACAAATGAACCAACAAAGAAGATGGAGGTCATGTGAAAGTTTTCTTGGCATCAAATACCCATGTACCCTACACCTGTTGATCTATTAGATTCAGCTCAGGACTCCAGTGCTTATGCAATCTGGGACCATGCAGTTCCAGCAAAGCCAATCAAATGCACATCCCTAGGGGCAAAATGTGACTCAGGCAGAGTTGGTGACAAATTCACAGCAGGGCACATGATACTATTATTGGGATGCTCCAGCAAGGGCACTGAAACTTGGGAGTATATAACAAGCTGAAAAGCAACTACAACCACCTTCTTAGAGAAGGGACCATTTTGGGTCTACTATGAAGAAGATAAGGAGTTACTAGGTCAAGGGCAGCATCACTGGGGGTTCCTGATCTTCCCTTACCAAATACCAAACTGGCTCCTAGGCTTTTAGCCAAGCAAGACTCTCACCATTCTACAGTAGTTAGTAGACCACTACAGCTACAAGATCTAAATGAGATCAGTAACTACTGACAAGAGGACATTAACAAAAGAACAAGGGTAATGGCGAGTCACCAGATCACTTCCCAAAACTCACTTGTGTAACTTCCAAGTTTAGGGTGGACGATATTCACAGTCCCAAACTTCTTGGCTTCTTCTGCGGCCTTAGCTGACCAAGTTCCAGTCACCACATAGTCGGCACACCTTCCAGCTTTCAGGTCAATCAGATTTAAGGGGACAGCACTGAACTGGCCAGACCCACCTCCTTGTACAAAGATCACCTTGTAGTTGTTGGGAACATCTCTGAACATAAAAACAGTGATAGTAAATACATAGGCTCACACTTCAAGGATAGAGAATGAGGGGTACTCTACCAAGTGCATATTTCTAGTCTGACTCTACAGAGGCTGGAAAGAAGGCCCAGTGGTAACTGCATGTACTGCCCTTGCCAAGGACTTGGGTTAAGTTCCCAGCACCCATATTAGGCAGCTCACAACCACCTATATCTCCCGCTCCAAAGTATCTGATTTACTCTTCTGGCCTCCATGAACGAGCACGCAGCACGCGCACCCACACACACACACACACAATACACCTTAAAAAATACAGTAAAATTTCATAATCACTCTCTCTTACCCAAATTAGTCATTTATTTACTGGTTTCTTTGACATTTATTGGTGACAATGGTAAAAACCTATAGTGACTTCTCCCTTTTCCTTAGAAATTGCCCTGCTTTCTTTTAGGGAAGCATATTTTTCTGCTTCTCAACCCTCAGATTACAACCATAGCCACCCCAACACAGGAGATGAACAGTGAACAAAACTGCCAATAAGATTTGGTTGAGATTTTTGCTCAAATCACAAAGGTGCTAATCTTGCAAATACCAGTGGCCTCCTGGCAAAGCCAGCATACAGGTGAGCAGAACCTTCTTAGGAAGATTCCCCCTAGTGTCAACAGGGCTCCTATGCCCTCCTTTGGCTACACAAGGCAAACATTGCCATCTTTGCTTAAGTCTGTGAACCAGGTCCATCACCTGTAACCATACTGAGCCAGGCATCATTGAGTTGTCTGTCTTTGACAACTCTAGGTCTAGCTGAGTAAGCAAAATTCAAGCACTAAGTGCAAAATACTTTCACTCCAGGATGGAAAAGATGATCAGGCTGGCTGCAAAGATCCCAGAGCTTTATAATAGCCAGAGCTTAGGAATAAATGGTCAAAGGACAGAATTCCAGCATCAGTACCAAATAGAAGGAGCCAGCAAGGTGGCAGGAGCATGGACAACAGATGTTATGTAAGTATCTTGTCCTTGGCCTATAGTCAGCTCAATAAGATGGCAAGTAGCCAGGCTAGTTTTATGTCAAGTTGATACAAGCTAGAAAGTTGATACAGAAAGGAAGGAGCCTCACCAGGGGTTCTGACTCTTAGTCTGACCTCTGAAAACTCCCATGTGATGCACACACATATACTCAGTTGTACACACACATAAAATAAAATAATTTTTAAAAACTCGTAAAAACTTACAGCAATTCCCTCACAAGATTCTCTGTGTTGTTAATAATCTTGGCAAAATCTGATGACCTGTGACTCATTTCTGTGGAAGCAAGGAAACAACAAAGTACAACACCAAACAGAAACGCTCGTGAAGTTTACGGAAAGCTCTGAGTTCAGAAGGTAGGCACATGCACACTTAATGCAGAGGACAATTCACACCGATACTCAAACTGTGAACTTCCAGTCTTGTGGTCACGGCGCAGTGATTTTTCAAGCGCCATGATCATTTGGTCCTGATCGAACCGACTCTATCTCTTTCTCCCAAGCTAGAGACTCAGACAGCTGACCCCGAAGTCCTATCACACAGCATAGCCTGGGGAACATGCTAGAAAAATAAATAAATAAATGTGGAATTTAGAACTTGGAGGTTCTCTTCCCAAACAACACAGAAGCAAAAGTTTAATAAAGAAATTATTAATGAGCAAGACCTTTGTAGAGGCTTGTGAAGTTTTTAAATTCTACAAGTTCTTATTTAAGTATAATAAAAACTTTACATTGAATGTGAAGTAATATTATAGAGCCTTGGTGGCACCCTTATGCAAATGTATAATATCTGCTAATCTCACATTTTGTGACCAATTAGGGCTGGGTGGTGGTGGCACACACCTTTAATCCCAGCACTTGGGAGGCAGAGGCAGGCAGTCTTGTGACTTCCAGGCCAGCCTGGTCTACAGAGTTAGTTCCAGGACAGCCAGGGCTACACAAAGAAACCTTGCCTTTAAAACCCAAAAAACAATTTGGAGCCAGTGATTTATATCAAAACTTCTCACCAGTTCTTAGACTGTGCTCAATCTTGACTCCAGCAAACATGTAAGCCAGGACATTAAAGTTAAACATGCCTATCACTGCCTATAAGAAGACCATTGGGAGTAAAGCCTGGGCTTGAGGCATTTTTGTTCCCTTTTAAACTTGGGCAGTAACAGAATCCAAAAGTAAATCTTACCAAGCACACTGATGCCGAGTCCTTTGTAGTCCACTAGCTGTTTCTGTATCTCTAGCAATACCTAGAAAAAGACAAGAAAGAACGATCTCAAGATGCCCTGCACACTTCCCCTCTTCACATACACCAGAGATGTGAGGCCCATCAGCTAAACAGAGACCCAGAAGGTGCCCAGGCTTCCATTCCCACCCACAGCCAAGCCCCTTCCCTCACCTTCTCAGAGCATCACTGGTACAACTTACACAAGATGGGCCTGAAATTAGGCAACATGAATGATTCAAGGGACTGTGTCCTCCTACAAAATTCACTTGCCTCTCTCTTAAAACTCATTTATTAGACATATAAAGTTCTCAGTTCAGGAACCAACCAGAGCAAAAGCTAGTTATGTCCAAATCATACAGGCAGGTCAGTTTCCTCGAGGAGGGTAGGGGATGCTGGCAAAAGTAAGAGATTCAGATAGGTGACCCATGTTGTGAATTAAACCCTAGGAGCTAAGACTATCCTACATGAAGTTCGTGACAGAGCAGTTGCCTAGCACATTGGAAGTCCAGGGTTTAATTTTCAGCAAAGCTGGAGGGAGGTGGAGGAAAAAGAGGAGGAAGAAGGAGGGGGAAACAGAAAATGTGTCCAACCCAGGCTGAAAGAAAGTTTCTTAGTTATGGACTACATCTTGACTTTGCATATTATTTCATTCTGATAAGGCAGCCTTTGAAGAGACATGGGATTTATTGATGTCACATTAATTGGGAAACCCATCATTCATAAAACCTTCTCTTATTAAATCAAATAAGCAATGTAAGTTCCCCTATAATGAAATGAAAAACAAAAGCTAGGGGTGCAGTTCAGTGGTATAGTAAGTGTTGGGCACGCTGGAGTCCCTTGAGTCTATTCTCAGCACCAAAAGAAAGGAAATCACTAGAGGGGAAGGAAATGAAGAAAGGAATCAGAAGGGGCACAAGGACAGAGGATAAAACAGAAAATAAGATATATGTTCCCCTCATCTAAACAGGTGAATAAAGGATGTCCCTAATAAAAAAAGGCTCCGGCCAGGCATGGTGGTACACACCTTTAATCCCAGCAGATCTCTGTGAATTTGAAGCCAGGAACTGGCTGGTCTAAATAATTAGTTACAACTCAGCCAGGACTCTAATAATGAGACCCTGTCTCAAACAAACAAAAAGAAATACTAGCTAAGAATTGGTCTAGATAGTAGTTCTGTAATCCCAACTAGTGGAAGACAGAAGGTCCAAATCCCACCCTGGCAATCTGGCTTAAAGAAAACAAAAGATACAAAGACATCATTAAATTATATGTTGAAATACTGTACTGTGCCCCATAAACACAAATGCAACTATCACACAAGTAAAAAGCACAAGAAAAGTTTAGTGAATACATTCACATAGTGTAAGAAACACTGGTCTGCAACAGAATCTTGATTTTTTTTGTGCATGTGTTACTGGGGATTAAACAGAACCTGCCTTTGCAAATGATGAGCAAGCCTCTACCAAATACCTTTACCAACTTCCTGAAAACATCCTTGAACTGATTCTTACTTGGTTTTTTATTTTATTGTTCCTTTATTTGTGTGTGTACCCTCAGAAGCCAGAAGGCATCCAATACCGCCCGATCAGACCTGTATTTTTTTCCCTGTGTTTTTCTAGTGCTTTCTTGAAAAACATATCTATACATTTAAAACCAGGACTGAAGAGATGGCTCAGCTTTTGAGCCGGGCGGTGGTGGCGCATGCCTTTAATCCAGCACTCGGGAGGCAGAGGCAGGCGGGTCTCTGTGAGTTCGAGGCCAGCCTGCTCTACAGAGTGAGTTCCAGGACAGCCTCCAAAACAATACAGAGAAACCCTGTCTCAAAAAAAATAAATAAAAATAAAAAAATAAAGAGCACAAACTGCTCTTCCTTGTCAGCTGACTCACTACAGCCTTTAACATTTCTGGCCTCCTCAGACCTGTTCATGTGAACATCCCCACACACAGACACAGCATACATATAATTCTTAAAAATGAAAATGTCTATTTTATAACCCAAATCACTGTTTTTTAAAAAGACTTCTAGCCAAAAGGTAGATCACTAAGCCATCTCTCCAGCCTCAGGTGCATACTTTTATAAACTTTATTTTTCTTTATGGGTGGCAGTCAAAAATGTTTTTGAACGTTTCTCTAACCTTTATAATTCAATTAAATCAAGAATTCCTAAGTTGAAGTTAATAGCTCATACTTATAATCCCTGTGTGCTGGCTAGTTTTATGTCAACCTGTCTCAAGTCAGAGTTGTATAAAAAAACAGGAGCCTCCCTCGAGAAATTTCCCCCTTAAGATCAGGCTGTAGGGAAGCCTGTAGGGCATTTTTTTAATCCGTAATTGATCCGGGGAAGGTCCAGCCCATTTTGGGTGGGGCCACCCCTGAGCTGGTGGCCCTGAGTTCCATAAATGAATCTGAGAAAGTCATGGAGAGCAAACCAATGCAGCACCCTTGCACGGCCTCTGCATCAGCTCCTGCCCTCACTACTTTAATAATGAAGTTACATGTGTAACTGTGAGTGAAATAAACCCTTTCCTCCACAAGTTGCTTTAGGTCATGGTTTTCATCACAGCAACAGCAACCATATCTAAGACACCATCTCTTGGACTAGCTTGTACTCAGACCTCGCCTTACCATACGGAGAGGGGGAGTCGAGGGTACGGGACACAGCCCACTCTCTAAGAGTGGGAGAGGGTTCCTGGATAAGTTTCCACAGTTCTAGCAAAGAACGTCACGGAAGATGAACTGCAAAGACCGCAGAATAAGCCTTGTTCTCAGCTTGTGCGGTTGTCCCCACAAAAGCAAGGCATCCTTTCCCCTCTCACACAGCAAGATCCTGTTTCTGCTCCACAGAGGCCGCGGTGTCCCCGGGGAGATCGCCAGGGTTCAACAATAGATAATTGTACAATTCTTGGCCATGCCGGAGCGCTGTGGCAACCGGTTATCAGATACCGTTTCGGCAGCTGATTCAAGGGCTCCAAGCCATGAGAGGCATCTCATTCCGCACAGCTGGGATGCGAGAGGAACCCGCGAGGGACGGGATGGCACCCAGATCAAGCGAATGGAACTTAGACAAACAGACCAAAGCGTTTCAGAGTCAGAACCCCGGGCGCACTGAGGGGACAAGCGGGTTTCCAAGAGAAAGGTTTGGGGGCTGAGTGGGTTCGGTGGGGGTTTGGAGGGAGAAGCAGGCAGCTTTCCATTTCCGAGTTCCGAGGACTGTGTTCCCAGCGCCCCGAGTTTAGCCTGCCACCCCGGAGACTGACATGCTCGCCCCTGGCCCGCCCGCCACTGCCCATTCATTCACTCTCCCACGCGCGCGGGTACACGCATGATCCACACGGGTCTCTCAGCACAGGAGCGCACTTCGGCCTCAGCAGCTACATCTCGATGGCGGCATCCGAACGTCCCTCACACCGATGACTGTATCTCGACATCCACATCCCGACGCCTGCATCCCGATGCCGGCTCTCCGGCCGAACCCCAGCCATCTTACCGAGTGTGGCAGCTTGGCAGGCCCTGGCCCAAAGTTAATCACTTGCTTGGCAGCATCCATGGTGCTGAGGCTACAGCGGGGGAAGTGGCAGGAGCAGAGACCACGCGAACTACCCGCGTCTCCGGATGCAGGGGCGGGGCGGGCTCCAGTTCGCAGACTCGGCGCCCCATTGGGCGGCTGTCTCAGGCCACGTACTGATTGGTTCCTACCCAGAAGCCCGCATCCCCATTGGCTGTGCTCACCATCCGATTCTGCGATCAATTGCTCCTCCCGTTGTTTAGAATTTCAACCCGCCTTGGCTGTCAACGCAAGAGAGCAGGGAATTGCACCAGCCGCCCTCGTGGCGGGGAGCCTACTGGCTTTGAGCACCTCTGGGCGTAGAGTCCCCGGCCCTGGCTTCTGGCCAACTGCGAGACAGTGTGTAAGCCCATTGCTCCTGGGTTGGCTCTGCTGCACTTGCTCCACAGGCCAGTCCTCATTAGTTCACCAGATTTTCCGAAGACCCACACTGTCACTCCAGCGTAGACAGAGCACTCAAAGAAGAATGTGTCAGGTGAAGAAGGACCTGGAACAGTGAGGTCATGCGATTATGACCCGGTGCACCGGATAATCACAGCACTTCGGAGGCTGAGGCAGGAGGATAACTGCTTGGAGGCCAGCCAGGAGTTACACAGAGGGACCCTGTCTCAAAAATAACATAAAACAAACAAGCCTTTGTGCTTGTACATGGGCTCTAACTCTGCACCACGAAAGGACAGACGTGGCTAAGAACATGCAGAGAGATCTCTCCCTCCCGCAGCTACTCCCACCCTCATCCAGGATAGCCTTTCAAGTTGCTGACTCTCCATTCTTTCTCATTATTTGTTTCATGAACTGAGGAGCAAGAACCCGAATCTTGGCTCTCTTTCACTGGAGCTCCTGTGGTTGTGAGGAGGTATTAAAAGGAGCATAATAAGCTGAATGCAGTCCGGACCAGAGGAATGTGGCCCTGAGCCGAGCTGGGCACATGGCCAAATCTGTTTATACTTCTCCACACAAGTTCTCTTTTCAAAAGAGTTGCTCTGAAGGCTCGCATGAGATTCTGGAACAAGTAGGTCCCTTCTATGCAAGGGCAATTCCTTTGAAGTTCAGAACATTTCTTTCTTTCTTTTTCCTTTTTTTTTTTTTTTTGGTTTTTCGAGATAGGGTTTCTCTGTATTGTCCTGGAACTCGCTCTGTAGACCAGGCTGGCCTCGAACTCACAGAGATCTGCCTGCCTCTGCCTCCTGAGTGCTGGGATTAAAGGCATGCACCACCAACGCCCGGCTTAGTTCAGAACATTTTTAAAGTGATTTTGTTTCTACTTTGCAGTTCAACCCAGATTTATTTACTATAAAAACATTTTCCCAAGTTCTTGCTTGCAGTGGATGCCAGGAGTAGGCGCAAGTGCCTACTGAGCAGTAACACCAAACACAGCATCTATGGCCTCAGTCTGGCAGGCTTGCAATCCATCCTTTGGGAATTTGGGTCTTGTTTATTTTCTGTAGCCTGAAGAAGGGATGTAGCTGAGAACAGAAACACTTCTTTGGGTATAGTAAAGCAAGAGTTATAGGAAAAGCTGAATAAAGTGATGTCACTACCTTCTTCTGCATCTTAATTTAGAAAAAACTTAGAAAAAAATTGCTAACTGGAACTGAGCAGCGTGTATCTCACCTTTAATCTCAGCATTCCAGAAGCAGAAGTAGGCAGGTATTGAGTTCAAGGCCAACCTGGTCTACCTAGGGAGTTCCAAAGACAACCAGGGCTACACAGAAACTCTACCTCAAAACAAACAAAAGAAAATTGCAAAACTGAATAGTTTCAAATCCTAGCCCTTAAACTCAGATAAGTAAGATTTGCAACAGTAATACAGTGAATTCTGAAAAGTGTCTACACCTGGATAAACCACTCCACCGATAGCAACAATCCAAATCAGACCAAATCAAACCGAATTAAACAAAATGCACGTTTAATGGATATAGTTCTCCCAGATGGTCTTCCAGCCCCCCAGAGAGGAGACAGGAAAGTGAGACTGAAAAAAAACACAAGTCTGGTCTCTGGGGGTCAGTTTAAGTACCCTGTGGGAGTGGGTATATCTGGGGGAGGGGCGCCATCATTTGGCAGGCTGAGATGCAGCAGGGTTTGGAGGGAGATGGGGGAGGGGAGTTGGGTGTGTTGTGCCCAAGTATGGAAGACCCCCAGAGACTGCCAAGGAGACAGACTCACCAAACTGCAAATGCAAGGCTTTATTGTTTAATCCTACTGATAAGATCTCTGTCTAGCAGTCTGACACAGCAGCCTCCAGAGGGATCGAAGTTCCTTGTCTATTGCCAGGATTTAAAGGAAAAATAAATCACAGAATAACATCAGTAGGTATGGATGGGATGCTGACTGGTTGACATTTGGGGAACAATTAGGGGAATTTCTCAGAGTCAGGGCAACTGGTTTGTTAGTATTTTTGATTGGCAGGCTACAGATGGGGGAGCATTAGTGGGTTGTTTTTTGGGTTTGGTTTTTGTTTCTTGAGAAAGGGTTTCTCTGTATTGTTTTTGGAACCTGTCCTAGAACTCGCTCGGTAGACCAGGTTGGCCTCGAACTCACAGAGATCTGCCTGCCTCTGCCTTCAGAGTGTTGGGATTAAAGGCGTGTGCCACCAATGCACGGCTGCATTAGTGGTTTCTATCGCTTTGTTTGTTACTTGCAGGTAGCCTGTTCTCATTGGTTGATGCTGGGAGGGAGCATTCTGTGGTTTCTCTGTCTCCTGGAGGTGGTTGTTATCAAACACAGTATTCAGGTACTTACTAAGTCTAGGAGGTAGGTTGTCTTGGAGTTTTGTTCACGACACATGAACTAGAGGCTAGGGGACTGAATTTGTTTTGAAGACTTTTTTATAACCTCATTTATATAGTTTCTCTCCAGTATGAATAACAAGAGTTAGATGGGAACTTAAGACTTTGCCACATTCATATAATTTCCCCCCAGTGTGATTTATTAGAAGTGAAACCTTTGAGTTTAGTTTACCTCTTTCAGGTGGAACCTCCACCATAACACTGTAGACTCTTTGAGTACATGGATGCCAGGGGCTGGGGTGAAGCTTCCACTGTAGCAGTTTGTGTAATATAGTAGTTTAGACAACCACACACACACTCCTGCAGTTAATCTGCTAGAGCAGTGTTTGCCTTCAGTCTTCTTGGAGCTCTAAACACAAGTACCAGAGAGTGAATAGGTAGAAGGACAGGAAAAATGAAAAGTCCCAGACACTTTGGTTTGTTAAATAAGGATTAAGAAACTCAACACAGGAGCCGGGCGGTGGTGGTGCACGCCTTTAATCCCAGCACTCGGGAGGCAGAGGCAGGCGGATCTCTGTGAGTTCGAGGCCGGGATGGACCGATAGCCTCCAAAACAATACACAGAAACCCTGTCTCGTAAAAACCAAAAAAAAAAAAAGAAACTCAACACAGAGCTGGAGATAGCTCAGGTTGAGACTGCTCTTCCAGTGGACCGCTGTTCAATTCCCAGCACCCACATGGTGACTCATAACCATCTCTAACTCCTTACCAGAAAACCTGGCACTCACCTCTGGCCTTCATGCAAACCAAACACCCATATGCATAAAATTTAAAAAGTCACCTAGCATTGGAGGCACACACCTTTAATCCCAGCACTGGAGAGGTAGAGGCAGGCAGATCTCTGTGAGTTCGAGGCAAGCCTGGTCTACAGAGAGAGTTCCAGGACAGCCTCCAAAACAATACAGAGAAACCCTGTCTTGAAAAACCAAATAAATAAATAAACAAATAAAATTTAAAAAGTAATAAAAAATTTAAAAATTCAACACAACTAACAAAACCAAAATTGCCAACAGAGATAATATGTGTCTTTCTAAAGACACCCCAAATAAAGATGTTAAAAACAAACAACTAGGGCTGGAGATAAAGCTCAGCAATAGCTCAAGAAGCCCTGGGTTCAATTCTCAGCACCAGCTTGCTTAGAGGCAGTATGTTTGCCAGCAGGACCATCGAGATGGCTCACTGGGTAAAGAGGGTTGCCACCAAACCTGATGACCTGAGCCATGGCATGTGTGTGCCTCCCTACAAAATAAGTAAATAAATGTGTAAAAACAGAATGTCTGTGACTTCCCAATGAAGGGACCAGGCCCCCACTTTAGCAGCCATGACAGGCTGCAGAAAAGACATGTAGGCCTCCGACTCAGCACATGTCTGACCTTGCTGGGTTTGCCCTAGTCATTAGGAGGTCAGATACCAGTTAGCTGGCAGGGCTGTGCTTTATGGCTCTGGGTGTGCTTATAATACAAGTGCACAACAGTGACACGCAGACATAGCAACTGCCCTGGAACGGCCTATAGACCATAACAACCAGTTGACCAATCAACACAGAACAGGTCGTCCAAGCCCAGAGAGGCGCACCAATCCTGAGATTATTGCATACACCTAGACACTATATTCCCTGCCTCACTTCTCCAAGTGTCTACCTCGATGAATGGACAAAGGGCCCAAGCTAACGGGATTAACTCATTAAACAATAAAAGACTCTTTGCTTTTGCATAGAATGGGTCTCTTCGTGATTTTGGGGGTTCAAAATTTGGGCACAACACCATCCCTAAATCTCAACCATGCACCCCATAAAACCAGTTTACAATTCCATTAACAAAGAAAATTCTTTAGGAGAAATAACTAAAATAGCTCATATATTTACTTAATTTTTACTAAAAGCTTGAAGTTTTGCTTAATCTTTAAACTCTTATAAATTACAGCCTGTGGACATGTAATTTAAAGCAACAGGATCATATATTCAGCCATCACAAGGACACCTAAGTGTGATACCTATGTCCTCAGTGTGCACTCTCTTCCTCAAATGTGTCTCTGTCTTAATAAATTCACTTGTGGTCTTTGATGGAGTTGAAGACAGTTATAATTATAGTTTTCTTTAGTTATGATAAAAGATAAGCTATATATAAGACTTTAGACTCACAAAGATAGGATAGATGATATTTTCTTTAAATCTTACTAAAGGTTAATGGACAAAATATTGTAACTAAAGTTCTTATTTGATAACTGTTCAGTTATATATAATCTGACTATGTTAAAGTTAAAATCTTTCTTTTTATTTAGACAGAA